GCTGCTGCAGCTGCGCCGCTGTAGCAGCAGCAGATGCAGCAGCAGCAGCAGCAGCAGCAACAAAGATCCACGGGGCAGTTAAGCGCATGCAGCAGGGTACGAGCATTGAAGTTCTGTCTGCATGCATTTGCAAAAAAATGAATTTGAATTAATTTAAATATTTATTCATTTAAAAAGAAATAACGAAAGTTCAAAGAGAGGTGTAGGGACACCGCAGCAGCAACGTGCAGACACTGGGTGCAAACTGGGGTGTACGTACACCTCACTTTGCGCCCGCGAGACCGCCACCGACAGAATGCCAATTTTGGAGGTTTTTGGTTCATTTTAATTCATTTTGAATGATTTAAAAAGCTATAAATGAATAAAAATAGATTTAAATTGATTTAAATTCGATTTGTTGCAATTTAATTCGATTTAACTCGAGTTACTTGCCTAGAAGCACCTCGTCGCTGCGCAAACGCGTCGCGGCCAGGGGGCCCCTCTGGAGGGCCCCCAAAGAGATTCTGGCCTCTTGGGGAAATCGCCTGCGGCGTTTATAGATTTCAAAAGCGCTCCCCGAGCCATCCATGCTAAACCCTAAACCCTAAACCCTAAACCCTAAACCCTAAACCCTAGAGCCTGCGCTGGCCCTGTACTGGAGCCGCAGGCGGAGCGCCGCAGCTGCTGCAGCGACAAGCCGCGGGTGATTCGCGCGCTCTGCTCGGCTGCTTCAGCAGCAGCAGCAGCAAGGGCAGCAGCAGCAGCAGCAGCAGCAGCTAGAAGAGGTTGAGGGGCCACGCAACCGCAGCAAAGGGGCCCCCCAGAGGAAGTGCTGCTGCTGCAGCGGCGGCGCCGGGGGCCCCCGGACGGTAAATGAAGCAGCAAAAAGCAAGTTGGAAGGCAGAGGCTGCTGTGTTGCTGCTGCTGCTGCTGCTACAGCGGCTGCGCGCGTTGTTGAGCAGCAGCAGCAGCAACAGGGGCCTCAAAAACACAGGGGGCCCTAGAAGCTCCAAACTTCATCAAATGGACTTAATTCAACTTCTTTAATTCTGCTGTCACTTCTGTCTGCCGCCAACGACTGCCGCATGCGCCCAGAAAACCAGATCGCCCCTGGGGCTGGCCTCCAGCAGCAGCAGCAGCAGCAGCAGCAGCAGCAGCGGAGTAGGCGGCGGCGCGATGCATTTACTCGCGGAAAGCGCGAGTAAATGCATTAAATAACCCCTTAATATAATTAAAAATGTATTTTTAAATTCAAATTTGCCCTTTTTAATCTCTCTTCAGAGTCTGTACACCACAGAAAGACGGAAGTTGAATTGCTGGTGTGCAGGTGTCCAGGTGTACAGACAGCTCGCGAAACTGTGCGGCTGTCTTTCGCAGCATTTTGCGCCTTTTTGAATTTTAAATTAAAATTTTAATTTAATTTTAAAATTAAATGACAAAAGGTATATTTTAAATCCAAAGAGATTCAATTTGAGGTGTACAGAAAGCTGCTAGGCCACACACGGACTTCTGTTACGAAGCCAGCCGTGGCAAAACGCAGCTAGCCGCAGCTGGCTAGCCACAGCTAGCTAGCCACAGCTAGCTAGCCGCAGCTGGCTAGCCACAGCTGGGTCGCAAGTAGCTAGCCGCAACTAGCTAGCCACAGCTAGCTAGCCACAGCAGGGTAGCCGCAGCTAGCTAGCCACAGCTGGCTAGCCGCAGCTAGCTGCTACTAGCTGTAGCTGCTAGCAGTAGCCAGCTGTAGCTAGTCGCAGCTAGCCGTAGGTAAAGCCTAGCTACGAGCTAGCAGCAGCTGCAAGATGGCCTCAAGCTCGCTGCAGCTAGCTAAAACAGTTGTCCGCAGCTAGCTACAGCTAGCCACAGCTAGCTGCGGCTAGCCACAGCTAGATGTACCTAGCTACAGCTAGCTACAGCTAGCTACAGCTAGCCACGGCCACCTCTAGGCCCCGCAGCTAGCTGTGGCTAGCTGTGGCTAGCTGTGGGGTGCAGCAGCAAAAGGTTTTGCTGCTGGCTGTTGGTCCATAGCACTGCGCTTGCCTTGGGTCGATTTCGCCAAACCCTTGGCCCTAAACCCTAAACCCTAAACCCTAAAACGGATGATAAAACCCTGCTGTAAAGAAAGAAGGTCGAGACCCATTGGCTTTAGCTAGCTGGCCGTGGCTAGTCAGGCAACAATCTATACAGCAAAATAGCTGGCTGGCCAATTGGCTAGCTAGCTAGCTAGCTACATAGATAACTGCTGGCTAACAGGCCAGCTAGCTAGCTAGTTGCTAGCTAAGTGACCAGCTAGCTAGCTGAGTGCCAACTGACTGGCCAGCTAGCTAGCTAGCTGGTTAGCTAAGCAGCTTACTAACCAGAGGGAGCCATAAGTGCTAGCTGGCTAGCTAGCTAGCTACCTAGCTAGCTAGCTATTTGTAACTAGCTAGCTAGCTAGCTGGCTAGCCAGCTTCTACGCAGCACTGTTAGGATTTATTTGTATATATTGAATTTAATAAAATAAAATAAAATAAAATATAGTATAACATAATATAGTATGATATAATACAATTTAATATGATATATTATAATACGATATAATATAATGTAACCCAATATGATGTAATATAATATAGTAGAATTTGGTTTAATTTAATTTAATGCAATTAAGTTTACTTCGATTTAATGTTTTGAATCAAACTGAACTTAGCTCGCCGCATGCATTTAATTTTTTTTTGCTATTTGTTGCATTTGTTTGCATGCACCAGTTCATTTTTCTCGATGTTTAGGTATATGCAATTGCATTTATTTATTCTTTTCATCTTTAATTGAATTCATGAAAATATAAATAAAAAATGATTCATTTTGATTCCAAGAAAAACTCTCTCCTTCGCTTCAGGGGTGTATGTACACCTGGGGGGCAAGTGAGTGCGCGCGGTGTACAGACAGCAAATCCACTTTGCGAATTTTTGCATTTTTTTGAATTTTTTGTTTTAATATATTTATTTTAATTATTCTATTTGTTCGTTTTTAACTTTATTTGTGTTTCTTTTTTCTAGATTTTCATTTTTGCATCCGCAAAACGCATTCTTCTGCCTAGGGCAAGTAAAACTCTGCAAAAAATCCAAATAAAAGAAATATATTCTTATTACAACTTAAATATAATATAATTAAATTTAAATAAATATAAATTTGACACAAATGGAGGCATAAATATCATCTAATACAACACAATTACTGAAATTGTGATAAACGCGAAAACGTGTTTTTCTGCATATGCACAACCGAAAAGAAATTTAACTTACCTTTTGTTTGACTCTTTTCTCCTTTTCAAAACTAAAAAAGGTTTTAAATGATTCATTTTGCCAAGAAGTTCAACTTAAAACGTCAAGAGCTTTAATTTGATATAAAAGTCCTAAAAGAAAAGTACAAGTGAACATACACTCGCGCATGCACTTCGGGGTGTACATACACCGCGTCACCTTCCAATTCAAAAAGCGCATTTTAATTTAATTTAATTTATATTTTCTTTATTTGTTAGATAATAGACTCATTTATTCCTATATTTGTTTATTATTTATTTATTTATTTATTTATTTATTTATTTATTTATTTATTTATTTACTTCTTTAGGCCGTTTATAGGGGAGCAAATAAGCTTCATTTGCTAGCCTTGACTATACACTAGTATTACTGTCTTATTTATTATTTATATATTTATTATTGCTTCTTTTATTTATTTTTTATTTTATTTTATTTCATTAATTATTTATTTATTTATGTATTATTTGTTTGCTTCAATTAGGCGGCTCTGTGCGAGTAAGAGCCAAGGTGTGTGCGCACTGAAAGGCTAGGGTTTAGGGTTTAGGGTTTAGGGTTTAGGGTTTAGGGTTTAAAGTTTGGGATTAAGGGCTCAGGGTTTAGGGTTCAGGGTTTAGGGTTTAGGGTTTGTGGCTTAGGGCTTAGGGTGTAGGTCTAGGGTTTAGGGGATAAGACGCGCCGTAGGTAAGGGTTTGGCGTTTGGGATTAGGGTTTAGGGTTTGCTGCAGCTACTTTCCAAACCCTAACCACCAAACCCTCAAAACGGGTCCTCATACTTCAATTCTGAACCCTAAACCCTAAACCCTAAACCCTAAACCCTCGTAAAGGGGGGCCCCATCTCGGGGGCCCCCCGGTGCTGACGACACAAAGCGGTGCTGGGCTGCTGCAGGCCCTAAACCCTAAACCCTAAACCCTAAACCCTAAACCCTAAACCCTAAACCCTAAAAGGGACTCTTCATGGAACCCGCCGCTATTTGTTTTGCGTATATTTCGTTGCGTTCGCTGCTGCAGCTTCGTGCTGCAGCAAGGCAGCAGCAGCAGCAGCAGCAGCCGATAGACCGATTCCCTTGGCTTCTCTCTTAATGATCTTTCTTAACGCCAAATCCTAAACCCTAAACCCTAAACCCTCGCAGTCCACGGCTTCGCTGCGGAAGGCCCAGGCTGATATGCATGCTTCGGGGCCCTGCTGCAGCAGCTGAAATCCCCAGCAGCAGCAGCAGCAGCTGCAGCAAGAGCAGCAGGCGCCGCTGCAGCAGCAAATGGAGCTTCACCAGCTGCGTATGCGCCACAGCAGCAGCGGCAGCAGCAGCAACAGCAGCAACAGCAGTAACAGCAGCAACAGCAGCAGCAGCAGCAGCGGGGCAGCAGGAGCCAGCTGTGCTCCCCACTGAGGACTGTTGAGAGCCCACTGCGCGTTTGATGCTATTAAAGAGCGTGATCAGCAGCAGCAGCAGCAACAGCAGCAGCAGCAGCAGCAGGAGCCGCGGCAGCAGCGGCAGCAGCAGGAGCCGCAGCAGCAACAGCAGCAGCAGCAGCAGCAGCAGAACCATCCCTGTTCTTACCATGTCTCTAGATGGAGTGCCCCCTTCAGTTAAGCGCGACGTGCTGCAGCTGCCGCGCTGCAGCAGCGACTCAACAGCAGCAACAGCAGCAGCACCAGCACCAGCAGCAGCAGCAGCACCAGCAGCAGCAGCAGCACCAGCAGCAACTCCTTTGCCCATTTACTTTGACTTAAGTCCCCCTTCACACGGGCTCTCGCGCTGGGCCCCCCGTGGCTTTGGGGCTTCTTCCCCTGCTGCTGCTGCTGCTGGTGCTGCAGCAGCAGCAGCAGCAGCAGAAGCCGCAACACCCTGGCCAGATGCTTCCCCGAGCCCAGCAGCACTTGAGGCTCCCCCATCACTGCAGCCTGCTGCAGCAGCAGCAGCAGCAGCAGCAGCAGAAAACCCCGCCGCTGCTGCTGTTGCTGCAGAGAAGGGGCTGCCACTGGAAGATACGGCAGCAAATAAACATACAGCAGAAGCAGCAGCAGCAGCAGCAGATCGGCCGCCTTTTGCTTCTGCTGCTGCAAACATAGCAGCAGCAGTAGCAGCAGCAGAGGGCTCAGCAACAGGGAAGACTGAAGCAGCAGCAGCAGCGCCAGCAACAGCAGCAGACTCTGCTGCTGCTGCTGCTGATATGGAGGATGGAATAGCTGAGGGCTGGGGCACCGTGCAGCAGCAGCAGCAGCAGCAGCAGGAAGAGCAGCAGCAACTGTCGATAAGTACTGCAGCAGATGCAGCAAGAGAGGAATCCTCAGCAGCACAACTTGCTGCTGCTGCGTCTCCTGCAGCAGCAAAGTCCGGAGTAGCAACAGACCCAGAAAAAGATGCAGCAGAATTATCAGCAGCAGCAGGAGCCGAAGCAGCAGCAGAAGCAGCAGAAGCAGCAGCAGCAGCAGCAGAAGCAGCAGAGGCAGCAGAGGCAGCTTGGAAGAAGTCTCTGGCGCTTCCCGTTGCTGCACAAGCAGCAGCTCCTGCTGCTGGAGTTGCTGCTGCTGCTGCAGCAGCTGAGAAAGCTCTTGCTAATCACACAGGATATGCAGCTGCCCACGCAGCCGAGCAGCCTGCTGCCGCTGCTGCTGCTGCTGTTGCTGCTGCTGCTGCTGCAGCCTACGCCCCAGAAAGCACTGCAGCAGCAGACAAATTTGATAATGAAATTGCAGCAATTTTCTCCCACGGCCGCGGGACTCAGGCTCTGGCTGCGCAGCAGCAGCAGCAGCAGCGGGAGCGACAGCAGCAGCAGCAGCAGCAGCGGGAGCTCCAACAGCAGCAGCAGCAGCAACAGCAGCAGCTACTGCAGCGCGAATATGTGCAGGAAAAGGAGCGTGTGAGCGCAGTCTCTCCGTGGACTGCTGCTGCTGCTGCTGCTGCTTTTCTTGCTGCTGCCGCTGCTGTTTTTGCTGCTTTTCTTGCTGCTGCTGCCGCTTTGGTCATTGCTGCTGCCGCTGCTGCTGCCCTTGCTCCTGCGGCTTTTCTTTCTGCTGCTGCTAATCTTGCTGCTGCTTCTTTTCCTTCAGCTGCTGCTGCTGCTTTTTCTCTCTCTAATGCTCCACTGCTGCCTCTGCGGTTGTATTAACAAATCTGCTGCTGCTGCTGCTGCTGCTGCTGCTACAGGAGGTACAGCGGCTGCAGCGGATGCTGGCTGTTACTCAGTCTCAGCTACAGTCTTTAAGGGAGCTCGCGCTGTACGTACACCTCAACATTGAATTTGCTGCTGCAGTTGCTGCTACAGTTGCTGCTGCTGCTGCTGCTGTTGCTACTGCTGGGGCATCTATGTAGTCCCTATTTGCGCCGGAAAGGCCTTTGCTGCTGCTTTTGCTGCTGTTGCTGCTGCTGCTGCAGGAGGAAAGAGGCTCAGGCTGCTGCAGCGCTTGACTCGCTCGCAGCAGCAGAAGCTCGCGCTTCTGCTGCTGCTGCTGCTGCAGCAGCAGCAGAAGCAGAAGCAGACAACCTAAAACGGGAGCACAGCCTGCTGCAGCAGGAGCTGCAGCACTCGAGCCAAGCAGCAGTGGCGTCTGCATCTGAAGCAGCAAGGCAAGGCTAGTGCTGCTGCTGCTGTTGCTGCTGCTATTGCTGCTGCTGTTGCTGCTGCTGCTGTTGGTGCTTCTGCTGCTGTTGCTCACTCTCCGTCCGAATTCGTTTATCTTGCACTGCTTTGTCGCTGTTGCTGCTGCTGCTGCTGCTTGCGCTACTCGTGCTGTTGCTGCTTGCTGCTGCTACTGCTGCTGCTGCTGCTGCTGCTGCTGCTGCTGCTGCTGCTGCAGAATACATGATCTTCAGCTTCAGTTGAGGCAGCAAGACACACAGATCATGGGACTCCAGAGGGCACTGGTGGGCCAACCCTAAACCCTAAACCCTAAACCCTAAACCCTAAACCCTCAGCAGCAGACCACAGCGAGCCTTCAGTGAGCCCCTGGTGTGTATTGTGCTCCTTGCGCTCCAAACTGGGGTTTAGGGTTTAGGGTTTGAGGTTTAGGGTTTAGCGTTTAGGGTTTAGGGTTTAGGGTGTAGGGTTTGTGTGCAGGCTGCGCGCGAGTTTGACGTGGAGCGGAAGCAGCAAATTGTGAAAACTCTAAAAGAGGAAATTGCATTTAAAGAAGAAGCTCTTTATAACATTCGGTTTGTTTTACTATTTTATTTTATTTGTTTTACTATTTAATTTTGTTTTCTTTTATTTTGTTTTATTTTTGGTTTTTCTCTTCTTCATCTTCCTGACCGTTTACTTGCTGCTCGTGCTAATGCTGCTGCTGCTGCTGCTGCTGCTTTGTTCTTTTTGCTTCCTGCTTGGCTGCTGTTGCTGCTTGTGCCCCTGCAACTTCTCGCCCGCTGCTACCACTGCTGCTGCTGCTGCTGCTGCTGCTTCCCGTACGGCTCCTCACGCGCTGCTTCCTCTGCTGCTGCTGCTGCTGCTGTTGCAGCAAGGAGCTGGACGAGGAGCGGCTGCGGCTGCAGCAAGTGGAAGGCCAAGGCCTTGCTGCAGCAGCACAAAAATGCATAAATGCTGAAAGCCGTTTGGCTTTAGCTGTTGCTGAGGCGCAGCAGCAGCGGCAAGCAGCAGATGTCCTCAGGGCCAGACTTGCTGCTGTCAGACGCCCCCCTAGCCCTAGCTAGCTAGCTAGCTGGCTAGCTAGCTGGATAGCTAGCTAGCTAGCTAGCTGGCTAGCTAGCTAGCTAGCTAGCCTATAGCTTGAAGAGAAGTTGCTGGATAGCTTTATAGCTAGCTAATTAGTACTAGCTGGCCCCCCGACGAAGTTGCAGCGGCTAGCTAGCTAGCTAGCTAGCTAGCTGGCTAGGGCTAGCACGTTAAATACAACTAGCTAGCTGGCGCAATGCCTAGCCACTTAACTAGCCAGTTAGCTAGCCGGATACCCAGCTAGCTAAACAGATTTCCAGCTAGCTAGCTAGCCAGCCAATTGTCTAGCTAGCTAGCCAGCTAGATAGCCAGATAGCTGGCTGGCTAGCTAGCTGGCCAGCTAGCCAGCTAGCTGGCTAGCTGTGTAGCTAGCTAGTCAGATAGTCAGGCAGCTAGTGAGGTTGGTGGGGAACCATCTGAAGCGATTTTGCTGCAGCACAGCCATGATTTAGACCTGGGCTCAAGGGTTTAGGGTTTAGGGTTTAAAGTTTAGGGTTTAGGGTTTAGGGTTGGCTGCTTCAGGGTCGAATCTCTGCAGCAAGAGATTCAGAGACTTAAAGAAATGAGTGCTGAAGCAGCCGTCACTGCGGTGCGTTCTTTGCTGCTGCTGCTGCTGCTGCTGCTGCTGTTTATGCTGCTGCTGCTGCGGGTGCTGCTGCTGCTGCTGCTGTTTATGCTGCTGCTGCTGCGGGTTCTGCTGCTGCTGCTGCTGTTGCGGGTGCTCCTGTGGCTTTTGCTTGTCACATGTCTGCTGCTTCTACCACAGGCTGCTGCCTGTTATTGTCTCTATTGACCGTGGTGCTGCTGCTGCTGCTGCTGCTGCTGCTGCAGCACGCGGAGGCTGTGCGGCGAGAAACAGCAAGACTGAAATGCGAAGAGAAGCTGCAGCAGCAAATTAAACAAGTGGAGGCGGAAGCAGAAAGGAGACAGGAAACAGTGAGGATATAGGGTTTAGGGTTTAGGGTTTAGGGTTTGTGAAGCATCGATAGAATTCAGGGTATGGGTTCTATAGCTCTCTCGCTGTTCTCGTGGTTGCTGCTGCTGCCCTTGCTTTTGCTGCTCCTCCTCCTGTTCCCCCTGCTGCTGCTGCTGCACGTGCTGCTGCTGCTGTCGCCACTACTGTCTCTGCCGCACTTGCTGCTGCTGCTGCAGTTACTGCTGTTACTGCTACGCCTTCACCTGCTGCTTCTGCTGCTTCTGCTGCTGCTGCTGCTGCTGCTGCTGGGGCGTCTGTACAGGTGCTGCATCTGCAGCGGGCGCTGCAGACACGCGAGTTGGAAGCAGATGATTTGCGGCAGCAAATTCTGCACTTGGAGTCCCGGTTGCATGCAAACGACAAAGTATGTTGCTGCTGCTGTTGCTGCTGCTTTTGCTGCTGCTGTTGCTACTGCTGCTCGTGGTGACGCGGCGGCGGAACCTCCGCCGCTGCTGCTGCCGTTGCTGCAGCACCAGCAACGGCAGTACATTCCTAGCAGGTGTTCCTGTCCGGCAACGCTAGCTGCTGCTGCTGCTGCTGCCGCTGCTGCTGCTGCTGCTGCAGACGGCTCAGGTGGACGTCCTGCGCCGCGGCTACGAAGAGCTGCTGCAGCAGCTGCAGCAGCAGACAGAGCGTGCTGAAGCGCTGCAGCAAGACTCTTTGCTGCTTGAAAAGGTAAAAAGCAAGAATTATTCTGTGAATGCTGAAGCAGCAGTAGCAGCAGCAGCAGCAGCCGCGACACCTGCTACAGGAAGTACAGGCAGCTGCTGCTGCTGCTGCTGCTGCTTTCAGGCGAGGGCGGAGGCTATGGATCTGCAAATGCTGGTGCAGCAGCTGCAGCGCATTGTGTGGCGGCAGCAGCAGCAAATAGTTGTGCTGCAGTCTGCAGCAGATCGCCAGCAGCAGCCGGCATTGAAGCTGCCGCAGCAGCAGCAGCAGCTGCAGCTGCAGCTCCCCAACAGCAGCAGCAGCACCTCTAAAATGCTGCTGCCGCCAAATGATTTGCAGGGTTTGCAGCAGCAAAGTATTGAGATAGATATTACGCTGCAGCAGCTAATGCAGCAGAGCAATCATCATCATCAGCAGCAGCAGCTGCTGTTGTCGCCGCCGCAGCAGCAGCTCCTGAAGCCACCGCAGCACCACTCACAGCAGCAGCAGCAGCAGCGGCTCCGGCTGCGAGAAGACGCCAGTCATTCTCCTCTTTACAGCAGCAGCAGCAGCAGCGCGGAAGCTGCAGCAGCATTTCTGGGCGGCCAGAGGCAGCAAACGCAAACGCGGGAGCAGCAGCAGCAGCAGCAGCAGCAACAGCAACAGCGGCACGAAGTGCTTTCCTCGGACGTCGCTACACTAGACGACGTAAGGACTTGTTTCTTTTGCTGCTGCTGCTGCTTCTGCTGCCGCAGCAAATATCAAGGGCTGTAGGAGCAGCAGCAGCAGCAGCGACAGCAGCAGCGAGACTCATGATGCTTAGCTAAAGACTGGGTGCTTGCATCCACTGTATTGACAGCCATCGCAGTGATTCCCCGTCATTGCTGCTGCTGCTGCTGCCTTTACCCCCGCTGCTGCTCCTGCCGCTGCTGCTGCTGCCTCTACTACTACTGCTGCTGCTGCTGCTGCTGCAGGAAGAGGAGCTTGAGGAAGAAGTGCAGCGCTATAACAGCCGCCTTGGGGGCCCTTTGCTGCGTCGAGTTAGAGGAAATGTTTATTTATATGGCATTAAAAGAGTGGAGCTGCGGCTCCTCAACTCCAAACTCATGAGTCAGCTGCTGCTGCTGCTGCTGCTGCTGCTGCTTTTCTGTCTGGTCGCCAGTTTCTGTGGTGCAGAGAAGAGGCTCGGGAAGATGCTGCAGCAGCAGCTGCTGCTGCTGCTGGGAGTGGTGCTGCAAACTGCATGCGGGGAAGGGTTAGGGTGTGGCACGCAAGCAGCAGCAGCAGCAGCAACAGCAGCAGCAACAGCGTGATGCGGACGTGAGTGTGTGCTGCTTACAGGGAAGACGGAGGGAGGTTGGGACTCGTTAGAAGACATATCTGCTGCTGAGGAAATAGAAGCAATTGACTCTTTATCCCTGCAAGGATGAGCAGCAGCAGCAGCAGCTGCTGCTGCTGCTGTTGCTGCAAACTTAGCAGGAAGAGCCACAGCAGCAATAGAAATAAGTGCAGCCGCAGCCGCAGCAGCAGCGGCAGCAGCACCAGCAGCTACGCCGTGATCACGCCAAACAGCAGCAGCAGCAGCAGCACCCGACACCGGCCTTTAGCAATAGCAGCAGCAGCAGCAGCAGTAGCAGCGGTTGCTACTTAATGCTTTTGTCCCTCCAAAAGCCCTTTAGTTGACCCCACAGCGCCTCTAGGGCTCCCAGCTTTCCTTTAGGGGCCCCCAGGGGGCCCCACAGACCCTAAGAGGGCCCCTGGAGGGCCCCTCATCCTGGGGGCCCCCCCTCCTGGGGGCCTGGGGGGCCCCCGTTGCCTCTAAACCCTTTATGCATTTAAAAGGCTCTTTGGCCTCTTAGTGGGGCCCCCGGGGGCCCCCAGGGGCCTCCGAGGGTCCTTGGGGGCCCCTGGGGGCCCCAGGGGCCCCCCATGGGGCCCTTTGCTCAATGACTGCAACAAACTGCCCGAGGGGGCCCCTCTAAGTGCTCCCTGCTGTTTGACGGCTTTGAAGGGGCCCCCTTGGGGCCCCCTAGGCCTCCTCTGGGTGCCCCATTTGGGGCCCCCCTGGAGGCCCCTAGCTCTCCTCTGGGGCCCCATTTGGGGGCCCCTGGGGGCCCCTCTGAGACCCTAGGCCCTCTGGGGGCCCCACTGTGCTGCAAAAGAGGCCCTTTCCCTAGTGACTCTGCATGCAGGACCCTCTGCAGCTAGGGGGCCCCCACAGGGGGGCCCCCCTTGGTAGCCAAAGGGGCCCCTCCTGTAGCTAGGGGGGCCCCCCTAGGCAGCTGTGGGGCCCCAACTTCAAGCTAAAAGGGTTCAATTGTAGGACTAAGGGCCCCTCTTGCAGCTGTGGCGTTTAGCCATGAGGGCCCCCGTGGTACTTGTGGGGGCCCCCTTAGTACCCTCTGGGGCCCCCCTTTACCTGTAGGGGCCCCTTTAGTGGCATTGGGGCCCCCTTAGTACCCCTGGGGGCGCCCTTAGTACCCGTGGGGGCCTCTTCGTACCTATGGGGGCCCCTTTAGTGTCTAGGGAGGCCCCCTTAGTACCCGTGGGGGCCCCTTTGTAGCTAGGGGGCCCCTTTAGTGTCTACGGGGGCCCCTTTAGTACCTGTGGGGGCCCCCCTGGGGCATTTTTGAAGCCAGAGGTTCAACACTCCTAAACCCTAAACCCTAATTCGTAAACCCTAAACCCTAGTCTGTGGGTGAGCCTCAAATGTGGAAGCTGCGGTCAAATGATCTTGCGGAACTAGGGATTAGGCTTTGAAGTCTGGGGCTTAGAGTTTAGGGTTTAGGGTTTAGGGTTAGGGGTTCGAAGTGGCTGCAACAGCAGCGCAGAGCCTAATCGCCTAGAAGAGAGACAAAATAGGAAATGGCAAAAAGATTTTTGTCTTAAAAATAGATATTTTGTTCTTGACTTTGCTGCAGTTGCTGCTGCTGCAGTTGCTGCTGCTGCAGTTGCTGCAGCTGCTCGCGGTAATCGTGGGGTTGGTGGTGTTGCTGCTGCTGCGGTTGCTGCTGCTGCAGTTGCTGCTGCTAGAGCTATTGCTGCTGCTCGCGGTAAATGGTGCTGGCGGTGGCGTTGCTGTCGCTGCTTCTGACGCTGCTGCTGCTGCTGCTAATAGAAAGCAGCAACAGGAGCTGCTGCTGCTGCATTTTATTAGCAACAGTAGCAGCAGCAGCTGCTGCTGCTGCTGCCTGCTGCGTAGCTTAATGCGAGTTGCGTCTGCGCTCACACGAGCAGCAGCTAAAGTTTGTAAATTGCTGCACTCGTTAAGTGAAAGTATAAATTTCAGTTCTAATTATGCCTCTGCAGCTGTTTAGTACTTGTGTTTATTTTTATTTTTATTTTAAAGAAAAAATAATTAAAAGATAATTAACTTTCATTCTCCTCCGCTGCTGCCAATTGCTCGTATTTACTTTTCTTTTGCTGCACTTCAGAAGCAGCTGTTAACTCTCGAAGTCACTGCGGGGGGCCAGCAGCACAAACTAACAAAAAGCCTTCATTTTGAAATATTTGCATTTTAAAATAAAAATTAAAAGGTAAATTTAATTCAAAATTAATTCAATAAACGTAAGAGGGGGAAAATGGCGAAGAGGCGGCGCCGCGCAATCTCCAAATCGGGTGTATGTACAGCGGGGCGACCCGTGGAGCACACCCGGCTTTCGAAACGTCAAATCAAACCAAATAAATAAATTTATTTTTATTTTATTTTATTTATTTTTATTTAAATAAATTCGTCTTACTGCGCAGACTAGCCGTTTGCCGCCCCCGGGGCTGAGGTGTATGTACACCTCACCGCATGCAACAGGCGCAGGGCGCTTGTGTGCTGAAATCGAAGGCAAAAAGGAGCCTGTCTTCTTTACACGAAATTAAATACTTTTAACTTCCCATTAAATTGAAAATAACCTTTTCGAATTCGATTTATCCTTTTCTGCTGCTGCTGATCTGAGCATACACCTCAACCAATACAACTGCCAGCAGCTGCACCGCAGCAGCAGCGCCCCAGTTTCTCTTTCCCTTTTTCCTTCATTTCCTCTTTTTCCCGCTCCCTAGCTCAGTGCTAGGGTTTAGGGTGTAGGGTTTAGGGTTTAGGGTTTAGGGTTTAGGGTTCGGCCGTGCAGCCTGTGGCATTGTTGCACAGCAGCTCCCGCAGGTTCGGTCAGCGGGGCTGTCGCTTGGCTCTCAGCCGGTGCAACGGCAGCAGCAGCAGCAGCAGCTGGAGCAGCAGCAACTGCTGCGTTTCGTTGATCTCGAGCCTCCCCGGCAGAGCAGTCGCTTGTCTCAGCAGCAGCAGCAGCAGCAGCAGTACTGTGGGAAGGAGCACCGCCGCCGGCTTCACAGCCTCAGCGGGATCTCTCACTAGCAGCAGCAGCAGCAGCACAACAATAACCAGCAGCAGCAGCAGCAGCAGCAGCAGCACCGAACCACCCACACCACCCACAGCACCCGCTGCAGCAGCAGCAAAAGCACCGTTCCACC